ATGTTCTTTATACATGTATATATAATGTAGAAAATTTATAATATAATATTGATGCCATCTATCTAAGTTAAGCATTATTATTATGGGGAACCAATAGTGGAAGGTTAATGATATAGGGTTTGCATTTGTTTTAGTTAAATCTATATGGATTATTGTGCCTCACACTCTCAGTCATGGTCTATTGATTTTGAATGTTTTGCATACTTATTATTATTATTCGTGGGATACTAATTTTCGTGCATTTCGTGGGTATAGTTGAACCATGAATTCAAAAGTTTAACGTAGCACACATTTTCTATTGGGTTGTATGCATTCTTTTGAAAAACTACGAAATCAAATATCCATGACAAAACAATTGATCCTAAATCAACGAAAATATGTACCCTCGAAATTAAATGAATCCACAGTAGTTTACAAGTATTTCCATTTAATTCCAACATTGGCCTCATTCTACCAAATCAAATAAAGGCGAGTTATAGTTTTATATGAAAATTTTATTCTTTATTGAATCCTTATTTTGTACCCACAAGAATGCCATTAAATAAATCGTTTAATTTGAAAACAAATATCAAGGAAATAGATTGTTATCTAAATTGCACTAAAACCAGGTAATATATATATATATATATATATATTTATATATATTTATTCAAGTCTAAATTGAAAACAACGTTCAAACCTATGATTGCGTTGGATAAAAACCGCAATTTGTATACGTGTGCATGCAGAACAAATTTCTTGGTAGAGTGGTCTAAACACAGCACAAACAACATTTTCAAAAAGACCAAAAAAGTGAAAAAGTATATTTTAACAAAACGCATTTGACTAGCAGGTCGAACAACGGATGTTCTTAAACCCTGCTGACTGCCATGGCGATTGCCAAATAAACGGATCACCAGATGTAAAAATGGATCTTAATATTAATTTAATACCAAACAGAAAACAATAAACTTGCGGAAAAGATGGTATACCGCAAACATGAGGTGCAAAAATTTGTACACCATATCCGGATTTCGACAATTAATGTCTCTTCAGTGATGTTAGGGATCGAAACGGTATTTGGAAGGCCATATAATTTACCTCAATTTGGGATTGACTCTTGAATTTTGAAGAGTCAAAATAGGATGAACGGATCATATAAACCCGAAGTCAAATATAATACAAGCCCAAACGAAAAAAAATAAACACGTCTAAATTGAAAACAACGTTCAAACCTATGATTGCATATATATATCTGCCTATGTCTTGACCATTGATCACCAACAAATATAAAAAATAGACATGTGTAAGACTATGACATACGACATCAACATTCCTGATTCGAAAAAAATACTATTATTTTTCATTCTAGGTTTGATATTGTATAGATTGTGTCTTTCTGAATTTGTTTTAATGCAATGATAAAATTCAAGAAAAATTAAATGATATGCAATAATTTATCAACAATATAGCTGAACAACATTGAAAATGACACTATATAAATTTTGAAGCGCTTTTTTTTCATTAATAACGCTCACCCCAAAGGGTTGACGGCCAATGATATATCAAAAAATTAAATTATGTTTAAAGTATGGTTTGTCCTAGCGTTGAGACATCACAATTACAATCATTTAACCTCCATCGGATAACGCAGATAGTATTTCAAAAACACATTACTTTTAACCATAACTAATCTGTTTACGTCTGACATTGACTTGATTGCGTGAAATATATCATAAGCTATTTCTATATGTATATTATCATATATACCAGAATTAAAATTGCATACACATGGAGCGCTTTTCGTCTTAAATACTCATCAGTGACGCGAGAGTCAAAAGAGTTTAAAAAGTCCACATAAAGTACGAAGTTGAAGAGCATTGAACACCCAATATTCCAAAACAGTGGTATCAAATAAGCTAAGGTAATCTATCACACTTTTTAATATGTGTTGGAATTAAGATATGTCATGGCAAACGAAACGCACGTCTTGTGAACCAACTTTTCACCTTGTATCTTGGCGAATGTTTCCGTAGTGCTAACATTTCCGGAATCACCTTATTCAAACGTTCAAACCTAAATTCTAAAAACCCAGGACATATAAATACGAAGAATCGTATTGAGCTATATGACAAAGAAGGGACACAAAAAGACACAAAATTGTGTAGTTAATCTTAAATGCTATATTTAACAAAATGTTTTGGTAAGAGATATCTTTTTTTCAAATATGAAAATCTATAAATATACCTTGATTTCGTAAACCATTTATCGTAATGCCAAATATTCTATATGAAAGAAAAGATGTTAAGAAATGAATTATGTTTTCTCTTCGATTCAATTCTCACTTCCTTGGCCATGACATTGATCCAATTTAGTATAAAATACGTTTTATTTTGCTTATTCGGTTATTCCACTTAATTTTACGGTTGTATAAGATTTCAAGCAATAAAGCATCTATAATCAATTCTAGGTGAAAACTTAATTTGTTAGCAATTTCACAGAGAACGGTTTAATATGTATTTTATTGAACAAAATAGATGACTTATGCGATGAACTATACATCAGTGTCAGTTTCGATTACAAAATGTTATCTCTAGATCAACATATTTACTAGTTCAAAAAGAAAAAAAACTACATATTATCTCGTGGAATGATTTTTTCTCTTATTCAATGCTACTATTGAATAGAATCTAATCATTTATCAAATGGCATTTTGTTTTAAAAAACAGTGTACCATGTTCCTTCAGGATAATCTTTCAACTTGTATATTCTAGTCATTTTGATAACATGACAAAGGTTTATATTGTTAGAGTCTTTCAGTATGTTATGTTATTTGAAATTAGATTAAATCAATCCTTACTTTTACAACGTAACATGACTAAGGTACTTAAAAATAGTCGAACAATCTAATTGTTTATATGTACTAATGTTAACGTACAAAATATCACCGTGTTTGAGGTGTATGCTCGTACTTTTTTCATTACTTGAGACTATTTATCGTATATGAGCTGCTTCATATTCTGGCTTGAGGAGGAGGTTTAGCTAGCTATAAAACCAGGTTTAACCGACCATTTTCTTCAGAAAATGTCTGAACCAAGTCAGGAATATGGTAGTTGTTTTCACGTGATCCGTTGATTGATAGCCTTTGCTTTTGTCATTTATTTACTTCCCATTTTTAATTTGCCTTGAAGTACAGTATTTTGGTATACTTGTTTGGCGGGACAGATTTTCTTTTTTTTTACAAAGTTTACTTGTATCATTTACCATATACATGCGTCATTTCACGTATTTTCTAACATATACCTTGATACACAACGGTATTGTCTAGATTCTATAGTATTTTGTAGTTGACAGTTAGACCATATTGCAATATATAACAGTATTTGTATGGACAGCATGATTTATATATAGAAAAAGAAGGTGCTGCATGATTGTCAATGCGATAACTCTATAACAAGGACCAAATGACGTTGAAGATCTAGAGAGACGAAAAATACCAAAGGCACATTGTAACTCATCGGGCGAATACAACCTGATGATTCCACGACCAAAAGGAAAACAAAAGTATACTTAACACGACATATAGATAACTGAGGACTGAACTACACAAACCCCACAAAAAAACCGAGGGTGACCTCAGGGGCTCTAAAGGTGCAAGAAGAGCCTGTTCCACATGTGGCAACCGTCAGGTTCCTCATGTAAGAACAAACTCGATAATACTCATGCATGGTGTCACATTCGAGGAAATGAGGACGGAGTTGTGATGACAAAATTTGAACCTATTCATCGTCATCTTAGAATCAGTTATAAAATAACGGTTAACAACAGATGATGTTTTACGAATGAATGAGCCAACTTTACCACTCTGAACTCTCGGTAAAATAGGTTCCATGTAAGCTGGACGAAACGCTAGATCGTATTTCAAATGTTCAAGTTTACAAGGGGACAGTTTGCAGGCAGACATGTCAACTATTCCGCACACATTATCTTTTTCCGAATCAAGACTCCTTGTTCTTCTTAATTCCGTGTGTTCCACGGAGAAGCAGCAACTGTCAATTTTAAGCCTTTAAAACCTTGGAAGGTCTAACCAACATCTCCCCCAATTAAGGTGAGTAAGCTAATACGAGACCAAAGGAGGGTCACAAAGAAAGAAGGACGGTGTGATAATTTAAAAAAATTAAAGCGAGCTTGCATCATATAATATATCAAACTTCTAATTTTTGTTTAATGAATAGTTGTAAAGAAAAGTATATACATAATTGACGTTGTACATTTTTGTCTATAAATCATAAATTCGTATAGCATTAAGTGAGTTTACATGATAAAATATAACTGTAGATGGAGGCTGTTGTTCAAACTAGTAGGCAAAGAAGGACAACTCTAAATGACAAATGATTGATGTTGCTATTCGATATATTATTAAGTACATATATTTGAAAGTGTTTAAGATAAACTATTTCGACAGCAATTCAACTAACACACGCACAAATTTTTTTCTGAGTTTAATCGAATAAAAAAACCCAAGTTTGTTGGAATTTATTTTATTTGTTATGAAATATAGTTTCTATATATACGAAAATAACGTTGTGTCCTTCTTTCTCGTGTTATCATCGTGACTGTACTTTTTTGCCATAGAAATAATCTCATTTTTAAAGTTGCATTTAACTCAATTTTGTTCAAGTAATCATACTAATAAGTTCGTATGCATCGTATGCATTTAATGCATCACAAATACATTATTTCGCTTCATTCAAAGTTATAATATTTGATTGTATCATAATTGAAGCAACATGTTAAAGAATAGTGAGTCGTTTACGGTCGTGAAAAATATTCTTTATTGAAATCCAAGATATTCTAACTGACGTCTATTTACGAAATATATATAGGGTATTTTTTTAACGCAAAAATAAAAAGCTGATTTTGTATGATGTAAAGTAAAACACGTTTTACAATATTTACAAGGATGTCTATGGTATCCTGTTTGTCTGACCTTCCTTGTAACATCAACTGCGTATGAGATAAAAGATAGTATAAATTGTGTTATTTGATATATTCAGCCTACAAGCAGCCACATCAGATTGACATGGTTGAGGTAAGACTCTCTCTGAGAGAGAGAGAGAGAGAGAGAGAGAGAGAGAGAGAGAGAGAGAGAGAGACTTATTTCTATTCTGCACAACTTTTCTTTACTTATTTTTGCACTGCTATTCAACTTCTCTTGTATTTTTGATTTAATTTAATTTGATTTATCAAGAAGGTGTGTGCTATATACGGTATGTACTCACATCTACAACAACTGTATATCGGCGTCATTGTCGATATACTATCAACTACAAAAACTTTTTTGTTGGTGTCTTTGTCAGATTTATTTGCATGTTTTTTTTTTATTTGAATTTTGTAGTCATTTGTGATATATGTTTACACAAATTTGGCTGCGGGGTCCCAATTATTGCCACATTTACCTATTATTTCTTATCGGGTTGCTTACCTTATTTTGTCAATATAACGGAAATAGAAGCAACCGCCATACAAGTAGGAGGTTTAGCTAGCTGTAAAACCAGGTTTAATTCACCATTTTTTTTCGGAAAATGCCTGTACCAAGTCAGGAATATGACAGCTGTTTTTCACTCGTTCTGTTCATTGATAAAGTTTGATTTTGTCAGTTTTTATGGACTTCCCCTTTTAAAATGTCTTTGGAGTAGGTTTGTTTTATAGTTTTTTCGTTACTGATTTGGCCTCAACATTTTTAATTGAATGTCGTTGATAAGTCTTATGGCGATGAAACGCAAAAAAAAAAACCTTATCTTTCGTAAAGTGTTAACACTATTTTAGAATTTAGAATTCTGTGTTCAATGCCATTTCAAATCCTTTAGATTTCAACTGCAATTTATCGCATGTGTTTATTTATTAACATTCTAATAAATTGATATTATTATATCAAGATGCGACTTTCAAAGATATTCATAACGATTTAATACGAAATTTTTTTTTTCAGGTCAAACACACGTTACAGAATAAAATGAGATTATACGTACTATTTGCTACGTGTGTGTTATCAGTCATTTGTACACCCACAGGTAATGTCATCAGACATATGTACACAAACATGTAATGCCTTTGGTCATATGTACACGTAAAGGTAAAATCATCGGTCATATTCACACCAATATGTAATGTCATCGGTCATATGGACACCTACAGGTAATGTCATCAGTTATATGTCAACTTCAGGTAATGTTATTGGTCATATGTTCACATACACGTAATGTCATCAGTCATAAGTACATCTACAGGTAATGTCATTGCGGTCATATGAACACATCAAGGTAGTGTCATCAGTCATATGTACACCTACAGGTAGTGTCATCAGTCATATGTACACCTACAGATAATGTCATCGCGGTCATATGTCAGATACACTTATCATAGATACAGTCGTATGTACACCAACAGGTAATGTTCGAATTAGTGAACCTACAGCTAATGTCAGATAAACTAATCACAGATACAGTCTTATGTACATCTACAGGTAATGTTCGATTGATTGAACCTACAGTTAATGTCAGATAAGCTCATCACATATACAGTCTTAAGTACACCTACAGGTAATGTTCGAATGAGTAAACCTACTGTTAATGTCAGATAAGCTCATCACAGATACAGTCTAATGTACACCTACAGGTAATATTCGAATGTGTGAACCTACAGTTAATAAATAAAGGCAACAGAAGTATACCGCTGTTCAATAGTCATTAATCGATTAAGCGAAAACAAATCCGGGTCACAAGCCAGAACCGAGGGAAACACATAAACTATAAGAGGAAAAGAAAGGAACAACATGTCAGATATCTTAGATACAGTCTTATGTACACCTACATGTAATGTTCGAATTAGTGAACCTAAGTTAATGTCAGATAAGCTCATCATAGATACAGTCTTATGTACACCTACGGGTAATGTTCGAATGAGTGAACCTACAGTTAATGTCAGATAAGCTCATCACAGATACAGTCTTATTTACACCTACATGTAATGCTCGAATGAGTGAACCTACAGTTAATGTCAGATAAGCTAATCATAGACACAGTCTTATGTACACCTACAGGTAATGTTCGAATTGAGTGAACCTACAGTTAATGTCAGATAAGCTCATCACAGATACAGTCTTATGTACACCTACAGGTAATGTAAGAATGAGTGGATCTACAGTTAATGTCAGATAAGCTCATCATAGATACAGTTTTATGTACACCTACAGGTAATGTTCGGATAAGTGAACCTACAGTTAATGTCAGATAACCTCATCACAGATACAGTCTTATGTACACCTACAGGTAATGTTCAAATGAGTGAACCTACAGTTAATGTCAGATAAACTCTTCACCTACAGTTAATGTCGGATAACCTCATCACAGATACAGTCTTGTGTACACCTACAGGTAAAGTTGAAATGAGTGGATCTACAGGTAATGTCAGATAAACTCATCATAGATCAGTCTTATGTTCAACTACAGGTAATGTTCGAATGAGTGGATCTACAGGTAATGTCAGATAAACTCATCATAGATCCAGTCTTATGTTCCCCTACAGGCAATGTCAGATTAACTCATCATAGATACCAGGATTTAAATTGTGTACGCCCGACATGCGTTTCGTCTACAAAAGACTACTAAGTGATACTGGAATCAGAAAGGTTATAAAGGCCAAATAAAATATGAGGTACAAGAGCAGAGCATTGGGAATCAAAAATTTAGAAAGGTATTGACAGTAAGATAAAACAAGGGCGAAAAATACCAGAGGGACAGTCAAACTCATAGATCGAAAACAAACCGATAACGCCATGGCTAAAAAATAAAAAGACAAACAGACAAATAATAGTACACAAGACACAACATAGAAAACTAAAGACTAAGCAACACGAATCCCACCAAAAACTGGGGGTGATCTCAGGTGCTCTGGAAGGGTAAGCAGATCCTGCTCCACATCTATTCACCTAAAAGTGACACGGTTGTACTGTTGAAGATGTATACAAAATCCAGTTAAAATTCTAGTCCAAATAATCACATGGGAAGAAAAATTGACATGATTGTGATTTTGAAAACAATATTAATTTAAACATGTTGATTTTAATAATCTCTTCTTTAGACTCGTGGCGATTTGTAAATTGCTTATAAAATAGAAAGTTTTCATATAGTTTGGTAACTATCAAATCGACATAACGTCTAAATTCATCAGTACATATTCATGAATCTTGCTTTGTCTTTTATTTAGTTTAAATCATAAATCAACTATTTTAAGATTTTGAATAGGTAGTCGGAACCTTAGTTCTTTAAAATTTCCGTAAATTATCAACAGAGAATTTAAGAAATGTATGTTATAAATCATGTCAGTAATTTATTCAATGAACTCTGCATCGCAACATTTGTATTTACACTAAACCTTGGTAACATCCTTTTGATTTAACGACCCATATCCTCGACTAAGAATGCTTGAAGTAGATGCTGGAGGTCATGAAAACGATATCTGTTGTGTCAAACCAATCCCTCACCATGAAGCAAGTATACAATTCCACATGATAATTTTGATATCCTCATATTAATGGTCATACTTTTCTTCTTTCACAATTTAATTTTTAATATTGAAGGTGATTATTGCACGGCTCCATTTTAGCGAATTGGTAAATGTTGTTACTTTATAAGTAACGAAAAAGGTGACTGGAGATGCTGCTGCATATGTACGTTAACAAATAGTTTTATATACATTCATTTGTAGATAGTAGTAGATTATAGATAAAGTTCTAGTTTGATCATTATCAACTTCCATTTATAAATAGATAAATGTATGAGACCAAGATCATCGTCTATTTATTGATTTTTATGTGCACTTGATATATAAATCGAGACGTATGGTGAACTTAAATATATAGCCTGGTATCTTTGTGGAGTTTTTGTTAGATTTAATTATCAATATTTTTTTTTTAGAAAAATCATTAGAATATTATTATTTTCATTTTTCTTCTGATCATTATTATTATTAGTAGTAGTATGGGCATTTTCTAACTAATTATCATTTTTAAGATATTTTTTTCTTTTTCAAGGTACTATGTGCTGATCGCGGAGCATATCTTGCCAATTTTGGAACCTTAGAAGAAGCCATGAGGATGAAATACGAACTGTTAGTCGGAAAAACAGGTAAAGATATAAAACAGTAAACTACTTCATCAGAGACATTCAAAATATTAATCTAAATTTATTTTCATTTTTTTATTTGGTTTTTGTTCGTAACATTGGTTGATCTTGTGTAATTTTAAACTAAAACGATGATTTTCCGTGACAGTGGAATACATTTTATAAAATAACTTTTTGTAAATTTCGTGCGTCTGAGGAGCTTTTCTCGATTAACATTCATCATGAACACCAAAGCCTTAACATTTGAAAGCCGGAGATATGCCTAAAGACACTGCAACGTTAGGAGAAATATAAACAAAAAACGACCTAAACAAAAAACACAAATTCACCTAAGGTAAAATTTTCTGAGGTGGAATGTTCACTGTTGTATGTGACCTTGACAGTTTTTGCAGTCCATAAGTGATCACGTGTTACACACTGTTCATGAAAATACGAGGTTTCCTTTTTTCGGGAAGTTAACAATATGACAAAAGATTTAGTTGGGACAATTAAAAACCATTTGCCGAACAGAATAGACAATAGAATGGCCAAAAGGAAATATGACATTACAATAAAGTTTACAAAACACTACAGTGAGAATTATGGACCGTAAGCGGTAAGTTTTACTTTACAGTACAGTCCATGGCAGTCGTAAGCATCACACGGCATGCTCATATTGAGTAAATAACAGCTATTGACATTCCTGATAAAGGATTTGGTTGTCGATGATATGCACAGTTGTACAAAGCTACACTTGTACATAACATAATTCACATTGGAAAGAATAGTTGATATTTTATAAACTAAGTACTGCATTTCAGTTCATTAATAGAGAATATCAAATGGCTTTTTCACTATCACATCCGTAACAACCTGAGCAACCAATATAATCCCAAAAGCTCTGATCGAGGGATTATATTTGTTGAGGGTTGATACGGTGTGTGATATTGAAAAAGTCATATCGTATACACTTTTTATTATATACCTCAAGTAGATGTTTTTATGTGACATGACGTTATACAGATTACGGGTTTGATAAAGCCTTTGCAACAGTGACTGATATTGATAACGTGACGTCATACAGAATAAAGGTGTGATAGAGCCTTTGCAACCGTGACTGATATCGATATCATCACGGATGGCTGATACAGCACGATTGTCGTTGACCGTAGTACACATACAATTTATCTGTATTTACTACTAAGTATATAATAAACTCATCAATGATACCTAACATATAATGTTGAACGCCGGATGCATGAATCGTCCAGATAAGACTGATCAGTGCAGATTGAATGTATGCAGATATAAGACAAATTGTGTGATAAAACCGAATGCCCAATTTAGTCATTCAGCGATTGAAAACAGGATTCGTTCAGTCAAAGGTTTATTTTGTAATTCATACTCCGTATTTGTGCTTATTTTAAAACATTTCTGATTGGCTTTTCTTGTGTTTTCTTCATGTTGTTCCTTTGTTGTCATTTTTCTGTATATTTAGACTAGTTTTCAAAGAACAGAACATAATTCGAAGTATATATTTTATTCAAATACAACAGGTCTACTCTACTACATTGGTGGTCGTAAGATGAACAGAAACATTGCTGGAGGTGATTGGAAGTGGTTCAAAAACGGAGAGAGGTCCAACATTACGTATTTCCTTTTTCCAAAAAGCCAGCCAAATGGAAGTTCTCAAGACCCGCAGGACTGTTTGTCATTCTGGTCTCCGGAGTATAACTTCAATGATATTCATTGTGATCACAGCAACCTTTATGGAGGATACATTTGTGAAAAATAACAAATAAGATCGAATCCTGTATTAGTTGAAAAGATGAATGCCTTTCAAGCAGTTAGATTAAAACAAAATGTATATATACTAGTATATAAATTCCTGGGAAATATAGTTAAATAGAATGTTGTCTTATAAGTCTTTGAAAAAATCCAGTTTAGTATATCTTAAATTAAGGAATATATTTCCATCATCAATACATGTAGCTCTGAGTTCTGTCCGGGTTTTCGCTAGCTATACTTTTTGGTAATTTTCGGTTATATCAGCTCTTCAAAGTTTCTAATGGGTTTTGGACTTCAAATAATGTAGCCACCTTATTTAGTAAAGTTCCGCTTTTTATCGTTTTTATTCTTTTATCATTTGAAATTGTGGATCCGCAATTATAATGGAATTTGTCATTGCGCTATTTAAAAGCTACTAATTGTATTTTATTAATATATATTTTGCTAAATAATATTTCAATAATATCAATATTCAGTAAATGTTATTTCATCTCCTAGTTGATGGTATTCACTATTAAAAAACACCCATCAAAGATACCAGGCTTATGATATTTTACGCCAGACACCACACGTTTTATCTAAATATGACTCATCAGTGACGCTTGAATCATAGATTTTCAGAGACAAATAAAGTAGGGAATTGATATTGAAGTTATTCTTTAACAAAAAGGAATAAAAAGCATCGAATGATGTGATAGTGAATATAATTTTGCAAATACAGTGAACTAAAAGTTTATAGATACAGGAAACAATAGTTTACCTATATTCAAATCTCATCAATTGAGAAAGAAAACAAATCAAAATAATTAAAGAGGGACGAAAGATACCAGAGGGACAGTCACACTCATAGATTGAAAACAAACTGACAACGCCATGGCCAAAAATAAAAAGACAAACAGACAAATAATAGTACAGATGATACAACATAGAAAACTAATGACTAAGCAACATGAACCCCACCAAAAACTGGGGGTGATCTCAGGTGCTCCGGAAGGGTAAGCAGATCCTGCTGCACATGTGGCACCCTTAAAGCTTATGAAATAATATACGCCAAATGATGTTCCTAGCAGATCCTGTATACTCTTTAAAAAAGGCCGACTTAGATCTTGGTAAGTTGCCTATAGTTAAAGATCCTATGAAAAAAACGTGTTCGGAAAAGAGGCCTATTTACTATTACACTATCATTTATGTAGAATCCGTAAAAATAATGTAGACTCACTAAACTAATATGTGTACAAGTGCAACTATTTGAGTGTAAAAGCTTATCTCGCAAAGCACCCGCGTTAAACTTCGAGATCTTGGTGCTGTGTGTTGGAATGAATGCAATATGGGTTAACGTAAGAGATATCACAAACAACACAAACGTCATTCAGAATATAAGTTATATGGTTCGCTACTGACCCCCTACGGATCCATAGAGGGTTAGTAAAATCCATAGGGGGTGAGGCCAGAGGCCGAATCCCCTATGGATTGTATTCAGTCAATCAGGGGGTCAGTAGTTAACCGTATAACGAATTTATCGCACGCTGGACTTTTTCTGCTGCTTTTTGTTAAAAAATAAACAATGAAACACAACAACATTAATAGATGACGTCACCATGAACAGTAGACGTGACGTCATGAACCCCCTATGAAATTTACTAACCCCCTACGGATCCATAGGGGGTCACCAATTGACGGCTTTAAACCAATCAAAACGTGATAATTTACCCGCGGTGCGATAAGTCTATATATGTGTTCACATGTAGGCAATTTATTAATGAACTGCCATAAACACCAAATCACAATATAACAATAATAGTACCAATTTTACTGTACCAGATGCACATTTCGATTATGAATGTCTAGTCAGTGATGCTGGTAGCTTAATACATATATAATCCGCAACCTTATACAAACATTGAAGCTCTTATCAAACAAAACGACCCAACGGAAAGCGAAATTCTGAAAAGGAATCAGCTGTGCATGAGGGAGATATTTTTCTTAATCTAAAATGATTTCCAAAGTTCTATAACAGCAAATTTCAAACAATATCCGTATTTGTATTTCCATGCCAGTACAGAAACTAACGAACACATTTAAATGTGACCAAACCATACCCTTTATTTTAAAAGACATGAAAAAATCCCGTTTTACCTTTCCCACTATTTAAATGGGTTTTATGTTTTGTTTTGTATACTGCTGTTTGTCTTTGGTTCTTTTGTGTGTTTTTTTGCCATGGCATTGTTAGTTTATCTAGACTTATGAGTTTGAGTATCCCTTTGTTATCTTCCTCTTCTCGTTTGGATACCAAAATTTTATAAGTTCTAAACACTGACCCTTTTTTATCGCAATTAATTGACCAAAACATGCAAAAGTTCCTTAAACGTATAATGGAATAATAAAATTAATACGAGATAAGCACTTAACTTTTTATCTGACAACAAAAGACATGAATAAACAAAACATTAAAACTATATTGAAGAAAGTTCAGAGTTAAAGCTGACTTTTTACCTCCAAAAATGAAATAATACAGTTTATTTGTAGCCTGCATCAATAAGTCAAAAATTCCGATTTGACGGACAATTATTAATCTTATTAACTTTGTAAATAATATTAAGGGAAACTGTTGGTGTTAAATATAACTTTCCTATAAATGTGTTCAGGTGCTATACAATATTTTGATAACTTTAAACATTAAATCTATTTCTCATATTTATATCTCTAATATATAATGTGAAAAGAATAATGTCATAATAGTAGAGGAAACATTCACGTCTTGTCTCGTTGTCTTTTTCTTTTAAATTATTAGCGTTTTCTATATGTCTTATTGTTATGTTTGTGATGTCCCCTTGCTATAATTTAACAGTAAATATAAATAATGATGTTTTAAGTACTGTGACAATTGGATATTGTTAAAAAAAAGTTTTTAAATTGATATAAATGACTGCATATATCATGTATTTTGAAGCTTAACTTCGAAATATGCAACACAGTATGAATCATCTACAAAACTAAAACTCTTATATTCCTAATTATTTTTAGCGCCCCAAGCATAGCATTAATGGAACATGCTATATACGAGTTATGCAAGTAGTATGTTTGCTGATCTGCTCTTACTATACATTTCAACACCACCTATATTGTCTTTCATTCGCCGGTTTCTTTTTTTTTCTTTTTGTTTTCTTTCACTCGCACAAATTACAAGGTATGTATGACGTCAAAGCCATCTCACATTGTTCATGGTGTCGTCTTGAAAATTAAAATCAAGACAATGATTATCTTAAAGCAGTTTAAATAATAGGTTTTGACTCTTTATAGCATAGCATTCGAACAAAAATTATCAGGTAAGTATTACGCCATAGTTATCTTTCAATTTGTTTATTGACTCGTCTTGAAAACTATGTTAAAGACAATTGTTAGCTTAATGCAGTTAAAATAACAGGTTTTGACTACGCCAACCGGCATTACCCTACCTATTTCTTTGTTTACGGACTACGCTACCCGGCATTACGTTACATATTTCCATGTTATTGGACTACAATGCCCGGCATAATGCTACCTATTTCCATGATCACGTCGTTATAATTTACATCAGGGAACATTGATGCAAAAACCGTTAAAAGCCACAACATATTGAATGTTTGATGAAAAGTCAAAATATAACGTTTAGATAGGTCGAATTTTTGCAAATGGACGCAACATTGTCTAACTCTGGTATCTTTGAGGCGTTTTTACGACCATTGCATTGGTCGTTACCACTGCTCTAGGATGTTTAGTTATCGAAGGTATCATCAGCTTGGTAGTCATTTTTCTGTGTTAAAATGAAATATAGTTGCTACCATCATTTTCTGTAAATTTGCCTAAGTTTCATAAAAGTCCTACATGTAATCGTATTTGGCACAAACGTTCGGCATGTTTTAGTTTTTATCCCCTCTGATGAGTCTTGTTTAGAACAAACGGGCGACAATCTTATTGAATTAAAAACCTGATATATTTGATGACAGTTACATACAGCACGATTTTATCAAACATTTACGATAAAAAATAGGATTTTATAGTATTAACGATACCAGTTTAACTGTTCCAGACGCCACTTTCAGTAATTCTCGAGGCCAAAGTAATTGTAAATCAATAAACTATTTCAAACTTGAAGACAAAGGGAAGCCAACCCGTAAATCTAAGTACTGAATCGATATTTGCTCATTGTATTTTTAAATCTCTAATACCCTTTTTAAATATATAAGTTTTACGGTCATCTTTACGAATTGGTTGACCGATACGATGTGTCGGTGTCAAAACTCACTATCGACATGTTTTCGCAGTCTTACATCTTTTAATACCTGTTTAGTCGTCTGATCTGAAATTTGTCGATTTTGTTTTATTTCTGATTGTTACATGTTGACCGAGTTGAACTCACATGGCGGATGACGCATACAAAGCAGGAGACGCTAACGATTCCCTCAGTTTCCGTTTGTTACCTTGATTTGTCTCTTCTTAATCGATATACTAGATTTACCATCTGTAAACTACTGTCACATGAATCTAATGCTCCATTGTTATTTATTAATTATATTTAGAATATAATGAAGTTTTAAGCATGACCACATTTTCAAATATATTTTTGATCTTTTAAAATATAGAGTTAAAAATAAATCCGAAAGTAGAAACACAGATTTTTAGGGGGTTAATTTTCAAAATTTCATGTATGCTGTAGTTGTAATCTGGACCATGCAACACAGTATGTTTTATGACTATTATTTACTATTATGGATCTTTTATATCTAATTAAAACTAAGTTAGAACAGTCTTTAATATCTGGGTTGGTTTCTTTCGGTAATGAAACGCAAATATTTTGGAAACACAAATCAACTTGAAAAGACTGAAGGTATTTCATAAGATAAGCATGATCTCCAAACGGATTGAACTCGAGTACATCGACAGGATAAAATAGAGAAAATACCAGTTATTTATAATTTTAAAATAAAGACTCTTTAGTTGTGCGAAACAGTAACAATGGTATTTAGTTTCAAATAGCATATACGTATCCAAGCCCATTGAAATTAATGAACTAACACTTAATAAGGTGTTGACTCCTTTAGTAATTTATACGCAATAAATGAAAAGTACATTATGTTAAAGGATGTCTTTGGTATCCTGTTTATCTGACCTTCCTTGTAAAAAAAATTGCGTATGCGAGGGAATAACGCTGTTTAAATATTGTGTACTTACAATTTAAGACGACAATTACCAGCAGCTTCAGGTAAGATCACGCGATCGCGATTTCAAAAAGTCGAGACAAAAATTGTATTTTTAACGAAAACAGCATCATTGTTCAAGAAGCAAACAATATACAACAAACAGTAATATGGATATATATTTTTTTGTTTAATGTTTCTTCATTTCTCATTTGCACTGCAGCTTGTACTATAGGTTTACATATTTTAAAATATTTTTTGGTGATTACCCTGTTTTTTTACATTTATTTCCTAATGATGATGTGTGTTTTGTTTCCAAATGATAATGAAAGCTTTGTTTTGCAAATGACGTTTTTTTGTTTTTGTTTTTTTTTCCAACTGGTAATATGCATTTGTTTCCAAATGATTATATGTTATTTGTTTTTGAAGACATTTCTAACGAGGCAATTATAAATTTTACTACTATTTTTCAGGGGATATAACTGGTAGAGAACTGCAATGATATTTGTTGTATTTTTCGCTTCGTGTCTTTTAATAGTCAAAAGTGCACCTACAGGTAAAGTGAACGCATATAGAATAATGGCATTTTTGTTTTGAAAAAGTAAGTCAAAATAATTTTACGCAATGAGAACGGATGTATGAATGTATTCCATTGATAAATTGGTGCGGATGGACATAACCGCGTGATGTTGCTGTACTGTTACGTGACGTCATTGCCTAATATTTTCGAGTATCAGTTTCTGTCCATGATATAGAAAAGTATTAGGCAGTAAGATCAAAGGGAAAATTAACAAATTGCTGACAAAGTATTTATCATATATTTAGCATTAATATGATAGTTTTTGCATATGTGAAACAAGCGGAAGTAAACTAGCCATAATTTCACACCCAGGCTGATAAACCCTATCAGGGCCTTTCGTTCAAATAACCAGTTACAGTGTCTCTCGCGTAGGCTACTTTCGGTATTTCTGGCGTCGTCTGTTTACAACTAATATCTGCCACACACAGACTTACGGACGGGATGATATTGGGGTCTCGGGATGACATCTGGTCGATATGGAAAAGGCCATGTATCAATCTGTATATATTACCCTATAAATGTACATATATAGATGGAGGTGTGTTTAGAGTAATTTTTGTGGCCTGAAAATGAGTATTTCAAAATCAGTCGATTTATGCGTAAAGATAATTTACAAGTAGGTGCAAATTTTAAACCGTACGGTCTATAACGAATATTATGTGAATATTTTCGGCGATTTTACATTTGAAAAGCAGCTTAAATTTTGGTTCTTTTTTACATAAATGAAAAAAAAATATGACAAAGATTACATATTTTGAAATTTGTTTTGGTGAGAAATATTGGGCGCATATGTAAAAGGCTTGAGCGTGTAATTTATAATTTGATCAGATGGTTAAATGCTTTATTAGATACTCAAACATAATAATAAAACAACAGACAAACAAATGAACAACAAACATACGTTGGTCTCTATGTCGCCTTATATGCAGGTGTCTATTTTTTTGTGAAAGATAATTAAAAGGAAAAGTTTGTCTGAGGATTCTTGTTATTTATCTTCAGGCAAAACTATACAAACGTTGATAATAAAAGCATTTCTTAGTTTTTGGGGCGCCTGTCCCAAGTTAGGAGCCTCTGGCCTTTGTTAGTCTTGTATGTTTTTTTAATTTTAGTTCATTTATATGTTTTGAAGTTTAGTATGACGTCCATGTTCACTGAACTTGTACACAATTTTATTTAGGGGCCAGCCGAGGACCACCTCCGGGTGCGGGATTTTCTCGCTTTGTTGAAGACCCATTGGTGGCCTTCGGCTGTTGTCTGCTCTATTGTTTGTAGTCCGGTATGTTTTAATAAAACTATCAATTCATTTTAATAACAGTTTATCTTAGTCAAAAATTACTTAATATATCTTCACCCTGTCAAAGATTCAACGTGTTTTCTCCGTTCTGTGCTTTATCAAACTTGTAAATATGAATGAAAATAACACCTTATTCTTGCTGTGCGTCCGAGGCGCTGTTCTTGATTTACCTTAACTAGTAACTCTCAAACCAAAACATGTAAAAGCCAAGTATGCATTAGACCAATACACTACATATCTGACATCTATTTGGAATTGAAAGCATGCTAGTAGCAAAGCAGAATATGCTTCCCATGGCGACGCACCTCGCCTCACTCAATATTGCATTTATGGAAACCCGCTAGTTTTATTTCAAATTTTTATCTGAATGGATTGACAAATGCAGTTACAGTCTATTTGGTATAATATTTTATATTAGCAGATCAATGTAGTTTCCCTTACCGTCGAATAGGCGAAGGATGTTTCCTTATAATAAACGATACTGTTTCCGGTGATGCTGCTTTTGTAAGTTATTATCATCATATTACAATCATAAAAAACTACATTTACTGGTCAGCATACGGTAATCAACAAAATATTTGTATGTTTTCAAATTGGCAAGTTTAAAATATGTTTGAAGTAGAACTGAATTTAACTCATCCATAAATAAAAAAATTACATAAAAACTACTAAGCTATTTCTGACTTGGAACGGGCTACATACAGTACAGGTCAGGCAAAAAATAATAACAGAAATGGCATTAGCTTAAGAAATTCTACTGCTCTTTACGAAAATGTGTTACCCTATCTGTCTGCATCGTCTAACAGGCTGTAAAGTAATCAATAACCCTTTTTCTACCATCAAATGAAATCAAAAATAGATATACTTGAAGCTTACTCACAGTTCCTGATAGACTTATCACGAACTATAAATACGTTTACCTCCTTCATCTCTACTCGAAATTCCGATTGTCTACTTTTTAGTTGTAAACTATAGCGACGTTACATACATTAAGATTTAATTTCTGTTATATAATACACTTTTTAAACAGAAAATGAGTCAAAATATTGAAATAGGATTGAAATGTGAATGTGCTGAAAGTCGGTGCATTAAGGTTTTTTTTTTTAATATAACAACTTACCTGTATCTCACAGTTTTTAAAAACTCGTTCACAATCTCCTTTTTGCAACACGACCGGTGCCACGTGTGAAGCAGAATCTGTTTACCCTTCCGGAGCACCTGAGATCACTACCGGTTTGTCTTTAGTTTTCTAGATTGTGTTTTGTATACTGTTGTTTTTCTTTTTCGTCTTTTTTTTTTGCCATGGTGTTGCCAGTTTATTTTCGACTTATGAGTTTGAATGAGTCTTTGGGATCTTTCGTCTCTCTTTTAAAAAAGCTTTTCGTTGTTTTACATGATGCATTGATATTCTACATGTGTTTATTTATTATTATAAATAGTTCAAAATTACTATTTATAAGCTTAACTAATTTGCCTCGGATGACTGTCACGATATGTATATATATTTTTATTTTCATAATCTTTTATCTTCTAAAGAAACTAACATTACATTTACAAATATTTATTGCCTTGGGATTTCCTGTTTACAGGCAAAATGTTTACACCGTGGTCTCTACCTGGCGACCTTTGAAACCATAAATGAGTCCATGTTGATGAAGTTTGAACTCTTAAAAATGAACGCAGGTAATCATTATTATGTTAATACCAGTAAATTACTAATCAATGGGGGAAAACCACAAAATCAAGATATTGCAATGGAAAAATCTAAAACAAGTGAATATACGTACTCTACTTTTACCAATATATGAAATGCATACTGAAAAGAGACGGTACATACACAGACACTCGTAAGTCGAGAGAAACTGACAAAATAATGGCAAAAATAAACCAAAGACGACGAAACGACAGACATGTTCACAAAACAAATTATATAGAATACTAAAAACTGAGAAACACGAACTCCATTCGACTGAGTTTTATTTTATGTTCCATAGACGACTAGACAGGTGACTGCTGGTAAAAAAAGCCGTAAATACTGTGGTAGATTTGGCGATAAAGAAACGACTCGAAACAAATGTATATGCGCATTCAACCAACTTTTAAATGTGCATTTTTTATTTATAACATGTGTTTAACCTTAAACACATCATATTACTACATGTGCTACTGACAAAATGTCTGAACACTTACTATTTCGCCGAAAGGAAACTATCTGAAAGATATATTAACAGGTATAAAAGTTTTCATGCTCAGACATCGCCATAATCAAAATGGCTAGGTAAGTTAAAGATAGATTACATAATTATGTACAGTGTACTTTTGTTGTATGTATTTTTATTTTTAAGGTGTCCACTATTTTGTTGGTGGACGTAACATCAACAGATACACGTCTGGTGGTGATTGGAGATGAATTAAGAAGAATGGAGATATAGTCAGGATGACTTACTTTGCATTTGATGACGGGGAACCAAATGGATCACTTAGTGCACCACAAGATTGTATGTGTTTCTATGCTAGTAGAAAATACACGTTCCACGCCGTCTGGTGCGAAAATGGAGGCGTGGTTGGTGGTTACATTTGCCAGAGACATATTTGAATATGTAGCTTTTTTTCCTATTTTATAGTACATTTTAGGCCAATGCAATTGTAACCATTCTTTGTTTGTTTTTAAACAGTGTTACTTCAATTTATTAACGATCACTATAAGATCTTTGTTATGCATTTATTTCATATTGAATTTCCTGGAATTTTTATTTTACCTAATGGCATCGGACAATACAATTACCTTTTGATTGTTAAGAGCCAGTCTTTGTAAGAATCAGACAATGTAGAAGACATCTTAAATTAGAGATTGTAGGTCTTTCGTTTCTATGTGTCTGGAAATTAGAGAAATCTCTAGATAGCTTTTGGTTAGAATGATTGCAAATTACGGATTTAGCTCCCCATGATTTTCAATTTCAAGTGCATTTCATCCAAATTATGTCATGAAATACCCGAACGGAAAAAGGAAACGAATGTTTTATTCGTGCACCATTATACATTTTGAACTTAAACTAATGAAAACTTGAGCGGGGGTGTTTGTTTGTCATGGTTTCACCACTGCCTGATTCTTAGGCAGATTGCCACTTACTATATAATACTTGTTTCAGTGCAATAAAAGTGTCAGGAAATATACTATTTCCATAAATGGCCCATTTACTGACGACGACTTGAGTTGAAAGTGAGAGTTAAATCTACATTTATATTATCATCTATACCGATTTCTTTGCATTGCTTTCAGCAGTTCTTACATAAAGTTATATGATCTGACATGCATTTGATAGAGAGGACCTAAATGAAAAGCACTGCGTTACTGAACTTTATTTGTTCTTCTATGCCTCTAAAAATCACAAGTTCCAAATTATCTGGTTCAAGTGATAAATGAACTCTACCTTTTACCTTTTAGTAAAAAAGACTCTAACATACTTTATTTGCCTTTGAGGGTTTTGTGTTCGTTCTTTGATTCATTTTTTAGTTTAAAATTTCAATAAAAAAAGGAGATGTGGTATGATTGTCAATGAGACAACTATCAACCAAAATTCAAATGAAGAGGATGTGAGGAATTATAGGCAATCGTACGGCCTTCAACAATGAGAAAAACCCGTACCGTATAGTTGGCTACAAAAGGCACCGACATGAAAAGTATGAAACAATTCAATTGAGAAAACTAATGGCATAATTTATAACAAAACAATTAGCGAAAAACAAATAATAGAGACATGAACAACCGACAACCACTGAACTACAGGCTCCTGACTTGGGACAGGTACATTAAGAATGTGGCGGGTTTAAACATGTTTGTGAGCGCTAAACCCTCCCCTAACCTGGGATAGTGGTGTTACAGCACAACATAGGTACAAACTATGAAATTCAGTTGAAAAGGGCTCAACTCTTTAGATCAGTACAAAGCAGAAAAACATCTAACAAAAAACATCCTGACGTGGCAGGGTATTCATACATTCCTAACAACAAAAAGACATAAAGTACAGATCTGAGAGTACTCGCAGTTACCATGGTTAATGCTAGTTATTTCAAAGCCAATAACAACTTATAAAAACAATTCATGTATTTAAGACTAAAATTGTCTTTGTAATACAAAAATTTCATTTTTTTTTTTGAATTTTTCCTTTACTTTCTTTTATTGTCATATCGTTAACGTCGGACAAACGATAACATTTTGCCCTTGACACCAAAGGCTTTTTGATGTGATGAATTTCGTTACAAATGAAGAGAAGTTCACGAAGTTGAAGTTGTGATTCGAATTATCAATAATAGACATAGGTAAAGGTATATTAGTATGACAATATACCTAAGGCATTGTATGACAATAACAATGTAATGCCAACTTATATCGATAAACGAAAAGAAGAGTCAGGAGTTAATTGTTATTATTTTTATATTTAAACTACTAAGATTTTTTGCACAGTCAGTGTGATGAAATTTGTTGTGCTCTTTCCAATACAATACTAAACTCTCCTTCCCTCCCGCACCCCCTTCCCCCCCCTCCCCCCCCCCCCCCCCCCCCCCCAATCGCCTCTAGTACCAAGTAAATTAGTTTCATTAATTGTTTCGTCAATACTTTCCTTTATACTAATAAATATGAGACAGACAAAAAATATCCACGATTGACACAGGTAGAAAAAGTCCTAATGATTTATCTAGAGTTATCCCTCTTTAGCCCAATGCTCTTTTAATCTAAAAAATTCAAACATTGTTTGTTAACGAATAAGGATGGCAAGTTTTTTTCTTCATTTGTTCTTCTAATTAGAAACGTGACAGTTATTTGGGGATGGACCTATACCTTATCGACTCTCTCAAATATCCGAAATTTGTGGTCAAAATGAACAGGGCACCAAGTTGTCTGCACAGCTCAACAATGAGGATGGAAAGGCATATACCAGATAAAGATACCTTCATATTCACAAACTGCCTGAAAATTTACGCTATGGTACCCCTATCTGTTTACATCAGATGCTTCGTCTTTTGATTATACCTGAGTTGTCATATGAGTGAAATAATTGCACCACCAAACATTTGGAAAATTCAAAATAAAGATGATACAAAATTAGTACATGCACAGCAAGAACACAAAAATCAACATAACAGTGCTTTTATTGCTGTTCTTCATCTCAATTTACAGTGAGACCTTATTCACAAATCAAAAAAACAAAAACAAAAACAAAAAACTCTCGCTTCAATGCAAAGTTTAAGACGGCCCTTAGCATCGGTTTGAGCGGAATTCTTTGCAAACTGACGATCACTTCACAATTGTGAATTGACGAACAAATCCGTAGATTAATATCAATAAAATAAATCTGGCAAAAAAATCAAACATTAACTGTCAAACTTTTGCCCAATAATCACACTGAAGCGTGCAAAAATAATACAAACATTTGGACTACCATGGGGCACATGGAAATATATGTCAGATAATTTGGTAGGAAATAACGTATGTATAGGGCAAATAATTCGGATAGACTATGTAAGATTTATCACCACCAACACATGAAGCACATTTTATTCTATTCATGGACGGAACATATGTAGGTCAATGCAACAAATTATTCTTTACTTCAAGTCGAGCATCTGTCACATAATTAAAAACACATGAAACTGTCCCTTTGTCATAACCCATCTTATCTCCAATTATCTGTAGGAAAAAGAATGCAGTGCAATTCACTACAACTGCGTAAATGTCAATGATGTTGAGTTTGTGGTAAATCTGCTAAGCTTGTTTTTCAGAAGATTAAAAAGGGATGTGATAGAAGGTTTAAAAAATAAACAGTACATAATACATACAAACTACATATATCTCTAGTCACGTCATGACAATTTCTTCTTCTTTCAAAGCAAGTTATGATAAACCTTTACACTGAAATATTACCACTTTAAGACTCGTTAGACATCAACCAAATAAACTGTTCTTACTCTGACATATGAAGGAAAATTGTACATTCAATGCACATTTTCCTAAAAAAAATACTTTTCCTCTTCATAAACAGTGCGTTCCATCAAAAAATGAAACTGGTCTTCGACCCACATATTTCTACACTGCTACAAATTCTTTTATCTTTATCGATTCTTTTATATCGATTTTTCTCCATAAATTATAGATGAGCATTTGTTCTAAATAGAGTCAAGCTTTGTCAATAATGAAATTTCTTAGCTTGATATTACTGTAATTCCCTTTTGAAGATGTTTTTAAATTCAAGGTAAGTACACAATTTTCACATTTGCCTTATCATCTATAGTTTTTCCCAGTAAATTCTATATCTTATAATTAAAACATTTCAATTTTTTGCAACGTTAACACCTTTTCTATTAATATCAATACATATTTGAGATGAAAGAAGGTTCCAGTGATAATGACAGACTCCGCTGACGCAACACTTTCAATCATATTTGTCTTCCCGTGATTTCTAGTGCATCCAATTACAAGTCGACAATTATGTTTGTCATTAACATTGTTTGACGTTTCAAATATATATATATAGCTATATTAAAGTATAGTCGATGAACATTATGAAACAGATTAACGACCGATTTTTCTACAGGATTTTTAAATTCTGGAGCTATACTTTTGTTTTTAAAATCTAGAATTATATATATATATTTTAAAATACATCGTACACAGTTTTTTGTAAAAATTTTAACGCCTGAAAAGTCTCGAATAAAGTATCGTTTATAAATAGAAACACGTCACTTTATGTGTTGTGTATAAGAATAGGTAATTTTCAATAATGAAGCTATTTATGTTCTAGACGGCGAATATAAGGGAATATATACGTCGTGTAAGTAGAGAAAAAAGTAAATAGGAAACTAAATAGTGTATCATTTATGTGTTTGCCATTGGATCTATAACGATTTGGAGACGGAAACCTTCCTCACCCAGTCTATGCTGGCTGGCAAATTTTCATATTCTATTTAATGGCTGACATCTGACTTCACACAGCCCAAATAAGACATAAAATGGCCGACAAAAGTAAGACTAATTTCAACTAATAACTGGTACATTAAGCATATCTATGATATTTTTCGGTATACAAGTTTAATAGTACTAACAGTGTTGAGAGCACTTAGTTCCTAAAACTTTTAAATTAGTCTGCTGGTAAAATATTTTATGAAAACCCAACATATGGATATGGAATTTTTTGTTCACCTAGCATGGACCCTTGCGTGTTTGAAACTTCATACAATGATTTCAATGATTTTTTTATGTAAACTTGACACATCTTTAGGTTTGTTAGAGGTTACGTATTTATAAGTCAAGGTCACATATTTACGATTGTAGCAAATAAAGCATACCTAAGCATACTTTATGATTCGTGAGTTTGTCTGCGACTTTTGTAATACACTGCAATATGTTAAAGGTGTAAGTGTAAATTTATCTCTTATATAATCATTGTAAAATGTTGTTGTTAAGAAACAGGTTACAACAACTTGCCACAATTGAATCAAGAATGCATGAAAACGTCTTACTATTCCAAATATTTAAATACAATTCCTGCATCTTATTTTGATTTTCATTAACTAAGTTATACAATATAAGGAGATCGCAAATGAGACAATTGTCCAACATTACGTGGATGTGAGTAACTATAGGTCTCACTGCGGACTTCACTAATGAGGCAAACAAAAACTGCATAGTAAGCCTAAAGGTTCGAGACAGGA